ACCTGAGCTATCGGTACTCGTACCGGTATCATACTGCTGGGCATTGGACACACGGGCCGGCTCTGGGCCGGCGATTTCCCGGCAGAGCGCGACCTACCGTGGTTGCGTGTGTTGGTTAAAGGATTTCGGGTTTGGAAGTGTGCTGTGCAGCACGCGAATGCAAACGGTTACGATATCTCTTGAGATACAGCCTCCTCGGCAAAGCTCTTACCCTGGCATAGATCAGCAAGATGCCTGGCTTGGCAATGGCAGATCTGTTATGCACGTGACAGAATGGATCATGACAATTACCGGTACCGTCTGACTTCGCATAATTCCTGTCTCTGCCCCATTGCATGGCGAGTTGAATCGAATTGCTCTTGGTAGAATTACAGGTGGCATAGTGACCCATGTCCAAGCTGCTATTTCAGCTAAGAGCGGACGGTGGTAGCATTTGATTTTCGAGCACTTGGGTGTCTGGTTACCGTACGTGGTGGAGGGCAGGCAATAAGCCTGGGATAGCTAAGCGAGAAATGGGTGCCAATCGGGACATAAGAGGCTCTACTGCGGCTCCTAGCACTCTTGATTCTCGGAGCCGGACAAACCTCTCATCGTGGAGAAGCTTTTCTGACATACAGCGCTGTGCTCGAGTACAAGCCGTGCAGCTGAGGATAATGACAGTTCCACCGATTGGCTTTCATGATTACTGGTTATCGCCTAGCAGTAGATGGCGACTTAAGGCAAGGCGTATATTGACAGGGCATAAGTATTGGAAATATCACCCTTCTCTTTTCCGGGTTCCAATCAACTCTTCCATATTCGGATACCCTTTCTTCGCTTTGGTAGCCCTGACTTGGTTGGCCTTATTGCTACACTTTCCCTTAGCAACTTTGAAACGCGGTCAACGAAAACAATCTTCTGATACCAGAGGCGCCCTTCAAGGTTCGAACCCTCTTATCGCATTGGTGGAGCTCTTAAAATCGCCAAGGCTGCCGGGTAGCCCGAGGCAACTTTATTTGAAGCTTTAGCACTTTCGAAAAGTCTTCACACATAAGGGCAGTGTGTCCCATTTTGAGCCCTTTAAGCCATCCACCTGGCCTTTTCCGAAACTATCATACGACCCCACCAGATAATAGCCAAATCTCGCTTTACCCTCGAAGTTCCAATTCTTTCCTCCTCACTCACATGACATCACCCGCCCCTACTCGCGCTCTCCGTCGGAGCTGCCAGTTCTGTCGAGCTCGCAAAGTTCGTTGCTCCGGGCAGGAGAAATGCGATGCTTGCCGCGAGAGAAATATCGATTGTATCTATGGCCTGGAAGCACCCAAGGGGAGACCAAGAAAGCGCACAAGGTCTTGTTCGGTTACTCCAGGCATCGACACAGTTGGGAGTCTGGCTACCTCTATACTACCTAATCCCCATGACTATGACTCTAGAAGCGATACTTCTAGGGGCTCAGTGCCAGCGGGCGCCAGCAGCCCTGGGGACCTGCCCTCAGCTGGGGCGCGAACTCTCGCCTCCGAATTTGAAACCATGTACGAACAAAACTTTGGCGATCCTACGCCTGGAGGGAACTCGACCAACATCTATCGCCTGGCTATAGAAGCCTTTACTCGCAGAACTAGGGGGGACCCTAGTATGGAGCAACCTATCAATTACGCGGTAGTGAGCTATGACTCCATGAGAGGATTCCTGACCCAGGAGCTTGTGGAGATATTATCTACCAAGTATGGGCGATTGGATTGTCTCCATCTGGGGGAGTCGCGCGGGAAATTCTATCTCAGATGTTTGGCGGCAGACTCTACACTGACAATGTTCCATGGGATCCCTCTATCTTATCAAAATCCGATCGACCTCATGAGCACCAGCCGGGTCGTGGAGCTCATTGGGACATGGTTTTCAGTACACCCCATGTCTATCATTGTTTCCAAGACTCTACTTCTACAGCAATATAAGAACAGGATATATGATCCACTATTACTTTGCGTCATAATCTCGCAGGCGCTTTATGTCAACGGCGACCCCCAATTTGAGTTGTACTTTAACTATGGAATTTCCGTCTTACGGAGACTTCCGGCAAATACTTGCGACCTCTCGACAGCACAATCTCTCCTCCTGCTCGGTTGGCACGACATTTGCCTTACCAAAGCTCGCCGCGGTACCTGTTTTGTCGGATATGCCTGCAGGATGATAACCAAGTTGATGAAATCCCCCAAGGTTCCCACAAGCCGGGTCAATGGGGTAGACACGGGAGAGGTGGAGGCAGAGCTGACGAAGTACATATACTGGATCCTGCTGTCGGTTACCTTATGGACCTTTATGCAATTTGACCAACCATTCTCCGCGGATATGTTGCCATCCCCGACAGCAATGGGGTTTCCGCCGCCCAGGGAATCGGAGTCCATGGTATACAAGCTGGATTTAGCTTCTGGAAATACTTTCCAAAGGCAGGGCAGAATCATAGGGGAATTGTGGGCATTGAGCAACATTTCTTCCACCATTGGGCACATCTACGCCTTGTTTCCTCGGGCGAATGAACCCTCCATTTCCGACTGGGGGGTGGATCAAACAAACGAGATCCAATCGTTCAGTCCAGAGCATGACATGATGGTTCTCTGCTCAAGAGTCAAGGACATCCTTGTGACAGCCTCAAAACAGCTATCCGAAACATTAGCCGTCTCTAAGGGTTCCCGTGCGGTCACGTTGGTCGCCTATCATACACTCATCGTCCACTTCCTTTTCCCACGCTTCGGAACACAGCCTCTCCAGGATGCCCTTGAGACACTATTCACCTCTTCTCATGCCCTAATTGAGGTCGCAAACGCCGAAGAGGCACTCATAGGGAGTAAGATGATATGGTACTCGACCACGAATGCCGATCCTTTCACTGCAAATATGTTGATGCTGGGTATCGATGCATGCGCAAGAGCAATAGATGATATCAAGTCTCGAGATATCCTGCTCCCCCGTCGAACAGAATGCGTCAGGCTCTCCCGGAAGCTCCTTGAGGTTACAAAGATGGAGAGACTGGCCGTCGCTCGGAGAGCACGGATGGTAAAGAAGCGTTTGAAGAGTGTGATTTCTTACATGGAAGATGAGGTGCCCGTTGCCGCAGGCACTTCTTCCCCCCCGCCTGATTCGTTTGGATTGAATAATTCTGGATTCCCGGATGGTAGCCAGCATGGTGGACAGGTGGCTGGATTCGATGAACTTGGTGGATTTGATGGATTTCTGGCCTCGTACGAAATGCTCCCATTCATACCGGGTGTCGAGGACACTGCTACATTCTTCCCTTCGCCAGTTTTGGATCAACAACCCGGTTTTCTGAGCATTTTTTCTACTCACGGACCTTCGGAAGGGTCGAGTGAAGACACGATGGGGAATAAAGAAGATGTGTTGGCTAGATGGGGAGGGGGTTATTAGATTTCTCTTTCTACTAGACTCTCTTTTGCAGGTTCAGTTGGGAGGTTTTCTTTGTGTCATTCTTTCATTCTTTCATTTTTTTCATTTTTTTTTTTTTGGAGCACTAGGATGATTATACGATAATATCGGGGTTTCATTGGAGTTCAAAATAATGTAGACGGATGACTATTTCTCTTAGGTTCTTCCGCTGCTTCTTGACAGAACTGTCCTGTAGGCTAAATTTATCTCGTATTGTCATTACGGGCTCTTGTCTTGTACCGCGGTTTGCGAACACTTGGAAGCGAGGTGCCTTTTTTTTCTGTGTGTGGTAGGGGCACTGTACCGGCACTGGTGCAATGGTGTCAGCAGCTATCGCTTCTGGTAGCCTTAATAATAGGGTCGCGTCGCTGATTCAGGAGCCATACGGCGATTCACCATGTATTTGATAAGCCCAACCCGCGTTGGCCGACATATCCAGCGTGTGATACAGCTCGCGGAGCGGCAGACGAACCACCAGAAAGCCACACACACTTCACGAATCCTCACTTGTGCTGAGGCCGGACCAACTCGAATCCGTCCACCCCCACCTTTCCGTAAATGTGCTGAGCACATCCAATCACTCGCGAGGAAGCTTCCATACGGTAGGGTATATACCGGTATCCAACTCGACCGCGAAAACATCAACCAGCACGACAAAACTCCCAACTTTCCGACGATCAAGCGTAGACGCAGCAGCAACAGCCACCGGGGGGGGGGGGGAGGGCTCATCCCGCTCAACAAACGCGTCCCCCTTCGTCCTCGTCCTCGTTGTCGTTGTCGTCGTCGTAGTCGTAGTCGTCCTCGGAAAGCGCAGTACAGTACGAGTAGTTAATTATAACTTTAAAGTTCCCCCCTGTCACGGCTGTCGAATACTATCAAATCGTGCCGTGCAAGTATAAGCGCGACGCACGTCCTAGTTGCAGTGCGAGTGGGCTGAGCTGCCGCACCGTAACCTGTACGAGTAGGTAAGTTTACCGAAGCGTGGCGCATGGCGCATGAAGCTTATCCATCCCCCCCCTCCCCCCGCTAGGAACGCAACGGTTTATTTCCCTCGTTCATTGGCGCCTCTGATTGGTCGTGTCGGGGGGACAGGTTTGTCCGGTTGGTTGGCTGGTGGTGGTGTGCTTGGTTTTGTTCGGAGGGTTTTGGGTGCTGCCAAGGCGGAGGGTTTTGGAAACTGGTTTGGCTTGGCTTGGTGGGGTTTTCATGGGGATGGGTTGTTTTTGTACTAGTAATGTACTCGAGTAGACTAGGGTTTTTTTCTTCTGGAACGGGGTTGGATTTGGTCCGGTGGGGGCGATGTACCATTTTTTTTTTTTTTTGCTGTGCTTTTATTGGTCTTGTCAATGGTGCTTTGGCCGATGGGCACTGAACTGTACCTTACATGGGATCTCGCCCCCGTCGATCCCGGTTTCCGATCCGAACTCTGGGTGTAGATAAAAGCCTCCCTTTCTTGCCCTTGGGACCTACTTTCAGGATACGCTTTATAGAGACTACTCGTACATCTAAAATCTTAAGCCTACTTTACACATATCTCTCTGTTTCTCGCACTCTCTCACTCTCTTTCCTACACCCCAAGAATGAAGTGCGTACTCCTTGGAGCAACCCGCGGCTGTGGGCTCGAAACCCTGCTCAATCTCCATAGAGCTGGTCACGAATGCTACATACTAGCTAGGAACTCGACCGCCGTGACGGAAACCCTCTCGGCGCAAAGCGTGCCCGCGAACTCACCCTTGCTTCACATCATCCAGGGTGATGCGTTTGAAGCGGACGATGTGCGAAAGTTATTTGCGGCAGCTGGAGAGGTGGAGTTCGTCATGTTCAGTTTGGGTAACCTCCTCCCACACCCCACTCCCCCTCGAAAGGAAACTGGTAGCGATGCTAACCCGAAACCCTTCCCCACTCCAGGCGGCCGCCCCTCGTTCCAGAACCCTCTCTCACCGAAGCTGGTCCCGCCGCATATATGTACCCGCTCGATACAGGTATTCCTCCCAGTATTCACTGAGTTTTACCCCACACCGGCGACTCAGCCCCGGCTCGTCGTCATCTCTTCCAACGGTCTGGGCCCGCAGGGACATGGCGACCTCCCACTTGCGTTGAAACCCCTCTACGGCTGGCTGCTGAAGGAGCCGCACCAGGACAAGGAGGAGATGGAGAGGGAGTTGCATGTTGCGGCCGGTATCCACCATGTGGATTTTAATCCTGCTGGGAAGGACGAAGGGAAGTTGGGCAATGTGGTTATTGTGCGGCCAGCATTGTTAACTGATGGGGTTTCTAAGGGGGAGGAGGGCGCGGTTAGGGCTGGAGAGAGGCTGGAGAGGTGTTGGACGGTAAGTAGGAAGGATGTTGGTTGGTTTGTTGTCGGGGAGTGTTTGACTGGGGATAAGTGGATGAATAAGGGTGTTACGGTTGGATATTGACGTTGTTGGCTTGGCAGAGGGCTGTGGGATTTTGTGTATTGTCAGTGATTTGTATTTTCCTTTTTTGGAGGGGATTTCTGTTATCATGTTTTTTTTATAATCGGTCAAGGTCTCCAATGCCACAAATTTTGATCATAAATCCCTCCAATGCCACTGCTTATCGAGTATCTGTGAAGATAGTCAAATCAAAGTAAAAAATAAACTACACTAGTCGACTCCATTAAAAAGGAAATATCAAACAAAAAATTCTCAAATCATGCGCATTCCGGATAACTACCATTAGAAGCAACGGCACAGAGAGAACATCTGTCAACCTATGCAAGAGCACCAAAACGCAGTGAGTTATGCCTTGATACTGACCGCTTCGCTTCGCCCCCCCATTCCAGAAGCGCATCTACGTATATGTCCCGAATTTACTAAGTACCCTACATGACCCTCTTCCGCACGATTATCTCAGACTTTTCCAAGGTACTGTACGTACCGTCCGGAAGCGACGCATTTACGCATTTGCGGATTACAATCTCGCGCGAACTTGATCACTATTAACAATGTTGATGGGAAGCCTTTTCCTTATGTAAGATCGTTGAGATCATGAGGGGCGGTCGGTCGGTCGCCTGATGCGGTGGTAAGCCCCCTCCACCCCCTCCACCCTCTCAAATTATGCATGAAAATAACGTTAGAAGCGGGGGGAGAGATATTCAGCTGGATTTTGGCGGTAGCCTGGCATAGTGTTTTGTTTTGTTGCGGGGAAGTGGTAGTGTGAGTTTACTATCGTCGGTGCTGTGGTCGCTGGGAAGGGGGGGGATTTTCCCGTTCTTTTTGTTTGGTCTTCTTTGTGCATATCGTACATGGTGAAGTGCTTCACGTGCGGGCATCAGAAGCCTTGACTGTTTTTTTTTCCTTTTTATTCTTTTTTTTATTATTATTAAAGTTTAAGAGTCGGACCACACGAATTTGCTAAATTTTTTTTAGGGGGGGGGGGGGTTTGTTATTATTATTATCGTTATTCCCCCCGTTCTGTCGGGAATCTAGCGCTCTTGCGTTATGATACCGCAAAAACTGGCATGAACCGGCCAGCGCTAGTAGGTTGGAATAAAGTCATGGCTGATGTGAACCCATGTTACGGTAACCTAAGACACTGATTAATAATGGTTCAAATGACGATCAAGAAGTTGATTTCAACAACAAATGACTCTTCACAGAAGGAAACACTCGTATTCATGACTGAACTAGGTATTTATGAGTCAACTTACAGGTACAAAAGTAGGGAGATACAAGAAGTAATAGGTGCCATACAAGCACTTACCGAGGCCTCTAAGATATCTCTTTTTATTTTCTTTGACTCCTACAACTCTGATAGAACTTTTAAAGTCTAATACTAGCAATTGTATATCCTATAGATCGATCAAATGGATGATCTGAGTCGAATTCTCACTGAACTTCGGCAACCGGTACCCCATAGAACTACTCAGAAATCTATTGATCGGCCTGGTCCTTCAAGTCAGTAATAACCAAGCCATGAAAGGGAAAAAGCATCCTACCATGCAAAGAGGTCCACTGGTCATATACCCAAGAGTTCAAGCGCCAAGTCCTCTCATATGCACTTAATCACTTAATCCAGATTGGTCCAACATCCTATTGAAGACCAACAGAATATAAGGTTGCAGCCCAGTTTCTAGTTCCTCTAGCAACCTTATACGATTGGATGAAGGCTGGTACAGTGGAAGCAATTGTGAATGCTCCTAAGGGTACCTAGACAAACCATAGGGCTAGATGTTAGTGGCCGGAGATGGAGGAGGAGTTGTATACATGTTTTCGCCTTTATTGAGATGAGGGAAAAGCTGTGTGACATGTTTGATTTCAGCAAAAAGCTGAAAAGAGTTTTCAGTATTCCTATCCTTTAGCAATAAGTACTTTTGTTTTTTTCGAATGGCTGGTTCTTTGGATTCTTGGCCAGATATGCGATTTCTCTCTGTTTTTCAATAAATATATCCTGGAATCTTCCCACAGACTATATCAACCTGTGTTTGAATTTTATCTGATTTGTAAAATATAATACACAACTCTGTCCTGGTACTAGTACCAATGATGAAATGCTAGTAGTAGGTTGCTATCTACCAAGCAGTATATGCAATATGGACAAAACTCCTATGCCTTTCAAGTTCTTAGATGGCCAGACATATGTGGATAGAGGTAGTCATACAGTGCAGGTTCGAAGTACAAAAAGTAGATGGAACACACAACAGGCTACTGTTATCCTGTGTGTATTTGTCAATAGAGAACTGCAGGTCAAACCTTTACTGTAACTGGAGCTGGTGCTTGGTTAATTTTGTTTTATATTTTGTTTTAAGTATCGGTTGATACTTGGTTATTTTTATATTTTGATTGAGTAAGAATATGAGTGAGAATTTATGATCAGACTCAAGAACATGTATTTAAAAGACTGCTGATTTCCATAATGGAAATAGCAGACTTCAACAGACAGTATTTTAATATACTCAGTTGAACAGTTATTTCTATATCTTCCTTCAGTGAACTGCCTCTTTTGAAGCCTCCCTTAACGAGCAACTGCACTGTCTCCAGAAGACTGTACCAGCAAAAAAATTTACCCTGTATCTGAAACATGAGTTTGTAATAGAAGGCATCCAGAATGTGTCCAGAGTATATCTGGTGCGTCCAGTGGCCCAAATAGGAAATCTTTGCATCAGGATTGAGATGTGGAAAATTCATGGTTTGCATAAAACAGCTTGGTAAATGGGCTATTATTTTGTACACTTTCAGGGATTTAAAGTGGTATAATTGATTTTACTTCAATTTAGTAAGTTTAATTTCAAAATTCAAAACTCAATATCAGATTTTAACTGATGAGGCTGAAACTTTGACATATAATATAAAATCCCTATGTCTTTTTATTAAAATAATATGTTTTAGCTAATTTTGACCCTCTATATTTGCTTCTTCCAGAGGTTCTTGGGATGCCTTCCCAAGGCACCAGAGGCATAGGAAGATCCAAATGCAAATGGGACTTGAGGATGCAGACAATTCTTTTTTTGCTGATGTGCCCTTGCTCCTATTGTATCCAGCAGTATGATTAGTGCTCCAGCGTAAATATATTACATTTACTGCTTTTTAAAGGTTCCAAAATACTTACTTGTCCTTATAACTAGCAATGCCGAGCTGCCAAGCTTGCCCAATATGATGCCTGAGTAGTTGTGCTCTTTAATCCAAATACCTATGCAAATGAAAATATACTAGTTATTTGGATTATAACTATGCTTGTTCCTGCACTTCCAGCTGGTCATCCTAGGATACTTGCTCTTAATATAGCTAAGTTTCATAAAACTGATGCAGTTCTTGAAACTCTATACTTACATGGTATTGTTCTAACTATAATACTACCTGGATGTAGTGGGCTAGTTCAACTATTAGATGTTTCTATAAATAAACCTTTAAAGAACATTTTGCACAACTTAGTTGAAGATGCTATGGAATTATTAAAGAAGTGGACTGAAGATGACTTGTATGAGA